TATTCAAACAACTCCAGGAAGACACTCGTCACTCAGGTAACAGCCAACCGACTTTGGGCTTTTTTCTTGAGTTTCTGGACATCGGCAACCAAATGTTTGCCATGTCGTGAAAGACACTCTGGAGGTCCATCGCAAGACGTAGGGCTCTTGCCGCATCGCTTCCACTGACGCGTTTTCTGGGTTTTAGAATCAAGAGTAGCCAAATATGCTTTCAGTCAAAGTCGATTTTTTCAGCCATAATCGCTGCGAAATACCACGGCAGAAATGCTCTGAAGAGATCATTGACTAGGTTCACATACGTTTTACAATGGATGTTCAAAAATTATCCCTGGAGATTTCACAACATACACATGGAAATGGGCAAAGACTTTCAGGACAACCTAATACTTGTACGCTCTGAACAATCCATACATCCTAATACTCGCTTGTGGGCAATCCTCATTCTAGAACACAACTGCATAAATATTATTTTTATCGTAGATAGAAACCACCTCGAAACAGACACCACTCACACATGCATGCGTTAATTAAAATGAATAAAAGACCAAGTCCACTCTTACTAGGTAACGATACAATAATCGGCTCATAAGTGTATAACACCAAAATAATAACCATATCAATAGCAAATCAATCAAGTTAACATGAAAACTAGAGCAATCGCCAAAATCCGAGATGGAGGTCGCAGTCACGTACCACTTACAAAACCTCTGACGCCGATCGCTTTCTCTCTGGGTTACTGTAGGCAAAATACGCTGCATAGAAAATGATTAATATGGACAACATCATGATGCATATCAACAACAAGAAAGTAGCACATAAAATATGGCGAGGGAAGATCATTTTTTGATTGCCTCTGTTCGATCGGTGACCGATCGCTCAGCAAAACACCACGCAACTGCCGTAGCACTGGCAAAAAGACATGTAAATGACACGTATGGTTGACGTCGTCTAACGACGAATCTATCGAGCACGAGATTTTCAATTTCGGCAGTGATAAACGATTAGATAAACTAAGTGATACTAGAAAAAACATATAACTTTAAATCTAAAAACAAAAACGATTCACACGTATCACCATTGGAAATAACCAAGTAATTCCAACTGTCTGCAATTATGCCTTTCTTTGCGACCGTCCTCGTTGCTTTGACGATTTCACGGACGACAACGAGTCGTCATGGGACTTCGTCGATTCCTTCTTCAACACCGTGTCATCGGACGTCTTAAGTTCATTTCTCACCGGATTTCTTTCATACACTGATCGACTAGCATATCATCTTTTAACTCTTCACCTAAGTTCGACTACTATCACTGTCAGGAGTGCTTCGATTCGCTTGCGCCCTAGAAGTTAGAGAATCGGATTGACTGTGATACGCTTTCCCACCCTGCGGCTGAGAGCGATGAAATCAAGAAGACGAGAATATGTCCAAGGCGCGGAGCGGGCGTTAGTGCTACTAAAAGAAAACTGGGTATATTCAACTGCATCTTGACACAGGCGGGCCCCTTTTGCACCTTATGCCGAAACTTTGCTCAGGGGATAATTCGATGCCCTAATTACGAAAATGGAAATTTATTTTGAGCGGTGACGCCATCTGGCGCCAGTTGATAAGTACGCAGCTAAAACGCGATTCGGGAAGAAATGACCTCGTGAGGAAACTCACCATCTGACTGCGGCCTGAATGAGTCAATAACAACTAACATACAACGTGTACAGGTGCCATAATTCTCGGCCCGCAGGTATCGACTGATCGCGTTTCATCGCGCACGTGGTTTCTTTCGCTGCGTAGTTCCTCTCGAATCGCGTTTTTGTTGCGTGCGCGCCAAAAATGCCACTCTCGTCGCAGACTCTAACGTCCGCCTAACCTCCCATGCAGCTTTCCGAACCAACAACTGCTCCATTAAATTTCCAGCCAAAATATCCGATTTCTAATGACACTATCAGCTTAATAATCACAATATTCAAGAAGAAAAACTAGTAATATCAACGGTTCTCACTTTATACTTTTTTCGATGGGTACGAATTTGTTCCATGTTTGGCCGTAATTATAGTCGAACAACAATTCTTCACCGAACAATATATGGCGACTAGCGTACACGCCGATTCGGTGTTCACCATTTACAATTTTAATCTGAAATTCCGCACATAGTGTAATGTGAACTCACAAAAATAAGAAATATCTTCCAAAAAACCAACCTCAGACGAGCAATTAGCGTTGTTGTTAGAATGGTTAGCAAAACGGATAAGATTGCCTACTCGAGTGGCATCGATGAACTGGTCGTTATTCATGCCTGTGATAATCGTATTCAAATTTGTGGATTATTTGTGTAGTCACGATCGTAAACTTGAGGAATGAGAAACTTTTAAAGAAAAAGATTAACAATCGCATCATTTGATTTATGCACTTACCGAAAATGTAACTGGTACAGAATTTGTCATAAATCAGACCACGTCGTTCAGATTCCCATTTCGAGATTACTTCACCAGTATACTCCGCAATCAGATCGCCCTAAAGGGGTACAGTTTGAAGACTATCAATGAACTAGAAAGCTACACGTTGCTGGCGCAAGTATACAAACCTTATCAGCAGTTTCTTGTATAAAGCAACCCCACCCAGCGATTCCTGATATGCCAACCTGAATAAACAAAAACATCTCTTCCCTATAGTGAAAGCAAAAAGTGTTTCAGTTACTTTGAGAAGTTTCTGGTGGCCACGCTGAAGAGGAACATTTCGGCATTTCTCGCCATCCATAGATAAATCATCTAAAAAAGGAAAATCTGCAAAAAAATTACGAACTTGCGAACGTCGCTGAATTCACTCGATAAAGGAATCATCAACATAAGTGTTTTTTAAAAATTATGGTCGAAACATTGAACATCCTCGCTTCATATTTCGAGCATGTCGCGATTCGCGACGACGGTCCTGGACGCACCGCGCGCCCGGACTCTGTCGTGCCGCTGGCCGCGTTGGTGGTGGCATGCATCAACGAGTGGGGTATGCTCCGCCTCCGGCCACGCCTCCAGCCGATACTACATAAAAAGCCGCCCCCGCCAGGCGGCGTTCTTCGCTACGAGCGGCTAGGGGAGCCTGCTAGCACCCGACAACGTTTCCAAGCATGCTCTCCGTTCGTTCGGAGCGCCTAGCTAGTTAGTAGTCTAGCTTACACCTGAGATTACTCGCCACGGCGGGATTTGTTACGTGGCTACCGCGGGGTGCGTGACTATTCAATCGTGGCAGTAAGTAGGTCGCCGCGCCAGCCGCCGCAGCCAGCGATGACGCGGCGAATTCGCAAAGAACTCAGCATCCAAACATTGGGGAATGTAAGATTAGATGAAGTTTTCAGTCATGAAACATGGAAATAGGAATCACCTAACCCTTGAAATGCAGTTTCTTCGCCCTTGCCATTATTACAAACTTATCCTATCATGCTTATGTTAGCGCCTTCCTCACCGTTTCTCTGTGTCTTGGAACGTGATGTTCTTTCTGGTTGAACCAGATTATCACTCCCTGATAGAAATTCAGGCAGCTGATTAATAAAGAAGTCGAATTAAATTCAAAAGGACAACCTTTACATGGCACAACCTTTGCCCTGTGAGAGCTTAAATCATTGCGGAGATCTTAAGATGACGCTTGCTGGCTTACTGATGTCTAGCACTCTGATCTTATCAGTCACCTAGCCAACTTATGGACATGGATGGTTAAGACAAGGTCCACACAGAAATCGCCGCTCCAACTGCCGCGCGCGACGATGCTCGCCGCGTGAGCGGCGTGACCTCATTAGCCGACGATTGAATTGACCGTCTCCCTGAGTTAGCCTGCGGGAGAGCAGTAGAGCTACAAGCGTTGGCCGGGCTTCTCCACGCTCGGCAGGAAGTTAAGTTGTAGTGCGTTAAGGACGTTATCGCCAATAAATTGTGAGTCCAAGATGTGTAGTGCTGTGTACAAGTATAGCAGCACGGGTATGCTTGGGGGAGCGCCAGGGCTCGGGCCAGTTTATAGCCTTTATGTGCTGCAGTTTTTATGGGGTTGTTGCCGTTTGGCATAAAAACTCCATTATCGCATCTGTTCGGCGCAACAACGTTTTGTTGCCCGAGCCGCGGACGCCGGCACGCCAAACTATCGGATCCGCTAAAAACTTGCCTTTAGGTAGTTTGATTAAGGGAACATGAATATCATACATTTGTCGAAAACTGTTTAGCTTGCGCCAGAGGTGTCGGCGTCAAACTAATGTGGCACCGTGTAAGGGGTAAATTGTGCCGCTTTATTTTTACGAGACTTTTATTGAGAGTTTTAGTTGGTACTTTCGTAGCTTATGTGCGCATTAGTGAATTTAATTCCAGCACATGTCTGCGAAATCTTCGAGTTCAATTCATGAATGCATAACTTTATACTCATTAATCTGAGAGATTAAATTCTTACCGCATTTGCACGATTTGCACAGATCTGGATCGCATTCCCACCTCGCAAAGTAACACTGGCATTGCTTGGTTCGACAATTGCCTAAACCGTTCAAATTATACGAGACACATACAAGTAAACAAGGACACCGAATTATTGGTCATTATAAAAAGCATTGAATAGTGAATCTGAGAAGGAAGCCTTGATCGACTAGTGGAGCTTCAGACAGAAATGCTAAAAAGTGAATAAAAAACTATTGAATGAAAAATAAAAAAATAAACGTATCAACTATATTACCAGTGAAATGCAGAAAAATATGCAATTGTACAGCATAAGCTTATAAACATGATGAGAACATTACCTGGTGCACATCGACATCCAGGGAACCGCATTCGGCAATCCGGAGGGCACCCACAGAATTTGCTGCAGATTCCGCTAGCCGACGAACAAACACACTGAGAGTTCCCATCACAGTGACCAGGATGGGAACATGGAACCATGCGCTCCTTGTTCTCGACCTGAAAACGGGTTTCATTTGAAGCCGTTCATTCCAGAATGAAATTCTAATGCAACATTCACCTGTCCTTTTCCATCGGCCCAAGTGAATGATCGGAATGATCTATGCTTATCTTTGACGGAACTAGAATGAAAAACCTTTACACCATAAACACCCGAGAGAAATGTTAACATACACTTTCTTGTGTTCAGGTGTGAGGCTGGGATTCGCTTGAGCTAGCTGAGAAGCTAAACGATGAATCTGAAACAAGAACATTGGATAGCTAACCTTTGAATGAGCAATTAAAAACCAAAAAAAAGCAGTGAAATCTCCGCGGCTAGTACCGCCATTCATAATCAACCCTCAAAGCGATGCGATGTATAATAGAAAAATGTTGACGTCATGGCTCAAATTCATCGCTAGGTGATCATCAGGTGAGAACAGGTGTTCATTTTCAATAGCTATGGAGGTAATTTCAGAGCGTTCACTTTCTCAACGACTTACAAAAACTTTCGCAATGTGCACCTTTCTTGTAAGACAAGCACCCAATACTTTGACAAGCTCGAGTTCAATTATTAAACCAAACTTTTTGGTGGTATGACCGTCAAAATTGCAACTGAAAACGATAATATCCCACATTTCTTCTACGCTTTCTTCCTAAGCTCCTTCTTCACATAAGCTCTACCTAAGGGAACAAAAAACCCTTCAAATATTCTGTGTCCAACAAAAATCGCCCTGAGAAGCTGCACGTTTCTAATGAATAGATGTGCGTAAAAGCAAACAAGCGGAAAGTAAGAGAACTGCATCGTTAAAAACAAATGAATTTAGAGTTCTTTTGTTCCCCAAGCCTGGAGGAAGGATAGGATACGGCTCCAAATTTAATCAATTGGAAACGAGTGGAGGATACACGAGAATAAAAAATAAAAACGACTGAATGAAAAAAAAAGATTACCTCGCTGCATGTTCGCGGTGGTACCCCAATATCTTCGCATATCATATTCATTTGAGCTGTTATCAAACATGTGGACGTCTGTTCGCCGGCCAACAACGCTACGAGGATGTTCATCAACGTTGGGTTAGCGAACGGAGGAACCTTTCCATTTGAAATGTGCCCATTCAAAACATTGGATGATGCGCCATCACTTGAACCATTTGTCTGGCGATTTCGATTGCGAGGGGATGACGGGCTTCGGCAGGATGATGCTTGTTTCTTATCAGATATTCCATTCGACACCTAAAGATGCCAGCAGCTATTACAAAGCTGTAAAAATTAGTTGAAGGATTGTTTCCCATATAGCCAGTTTAAACAACGAAGGACTACGCAAGGTAACGGTGAAATCGCTTGCCTGCTTGCCATTATGTGCATCATTGAGATGACAATGTGGTCCACACGGCTTTGGTCTAGGAGCCCTTTCTCCTTGGCGACGCTTGAACGGTTTCACTTCGTCGTCGTATGGACCTGATGAATGAAATATAATATTATTAAATATCAAATAAATTATTAGAGTTCTCACAAAACGGATACAATAACCAATCTGCACCGCTCGCCACAACATTAACTCACCGTGCAGCACACAATCGTACTGATAGCATCGCTCACAACATAACACATTGACAGAATGGAAATTTTGATCGCTTCCTAAGCCCGGAAGTTCTTGCGCTGCTTTTTGATGGCGTTACAGCGTGCCAAACCTCTCTTTCGAAGGTCACCTCTCCTGAAGCACACTACGCTTATTTGCTCAAAGTCTGCGCCAAACATCAAAAATTTATTAAAAAGCAAAAGATGTCAGCAAAACTTACGCTGTAACGAGTTGCCGATGAGAAAGCTTATTCGGGAACAGCTTGAAAATAGCATAGTATATATGGTCCATTATTCCTGAAATCTGTTCTTACAGCTATCTATAGTTATCGTCGCTGCAGTAGTCAGGCAAATAAAAGAAAAGTGCTGCTCTACTAATCTACAATCTACAGCTCATCTTCCTCATGGAATTAGCAAGTAATCCGTATGGCGAAAATTGACTGACTCTCTGAGTTTGGTCGGTCCTCCCAGTCTTGCTTTAAAATCTCTAGCATATAGAACATAATGTAGTCATTGATATACTTGTCACACCCTCTATCTGCTCCATGGATACCCTGAAAGATCATTTATAGAAGTTCCACTTCAGCGTGACTTCACGTTCTTAGGACTGCTTTTTAATGAGAAACTCACCTCGTCATATAACTTTCTTAGCTCGGCACAAAATTGCTGCTTGTCATCATGGTCTTCGCTAACGAAAGGAATATGTGAAAGTCTGTGTTCCTCATCCGCCTGCAAATTAGAAATTGGTTCACAGGTTAATCGCAAGATTACAGCTGATCTCCTATTCGGCACCCCAATCTTGCGATTATTTTGTTTACGAGATTAGAATCAGCTCACCCTAATATTGCACTCTGTGTGCACCCAATACGCCGTTCTTGGTCGAAGTTCGAGTGCTGGTAGAAAACGAACACCACATCGCTGTGCATTCATATTGCGACAGTCGGTAATCTGAATACATTTTCAGAAAACCGGAACGAGTAAAACCTCTAATAAGAAACCTGAATTAAGAACGGCAGAGTCTTGAATTCTAACTCGAAGCGGAGAACGTTGGAAATGGTGTCTCGCTCCCGTATTGTCATGGAAACAAATAATCTTAGACTCATCCCGATAATGAAAGCTTCATTCCGCAAATGGGAATGCTACTGCCAATTACGTGACCTTACAGTCACTGAATCATCTATTTTAGCCTTATCAGGCACAGTTTACAGAGAAAAATTTCCTATTGAAAGAATTATCTTAAATCCGACTGCCACTTTCACCGTTCCTAATCTACATAGACACCCGCCTAGGGAGGGATACGTGCAATCTGAAGCTTTCAAGCAAAAAACCCTACAATGCTTAAAAATTACCTTGAAATGTGTGATAAATTCGCTTAAGTCATCCGGTTCAAGATTGAGCCTAGTAGGGGTTGAGTCATCGTAGGTGTGATAACGACGAAGTGGAAGCTTTTTGACGATTCTAATAAAGTTGGGCTGAAAATGCAAAGCATAACAATTACGGCATTACGGTCAAAGAAAAAGTCATTGTATTCCACAAGAAATGATAGAGACGGAAAATTTATCCTGATAAGAATACCATGGACTTGGACTAGGAAAAACAAAGGAGAATGACTTACTGCTTCCTCTTTTCGTATCCTTTCATCATAATCCTTTATCACGTTGAAATACACTTCCATGACTCTTCGACCACATTTTTTCAAAAACGCCTCATCTAACAGTCGCTCATCCTTAAAACACATTCATCAACATTTCACAGAGTAGGATATATGCTGGCAAACAGAAACATCTAGCAGAACCCACCTCGAACTCATCGTCACTTCCCAAGCATAACAGTGATTCGTCAAGCAGTGACGAATCACAATCCAGGTCAGAGAACGCCTCGTCAATTTCCATTCTACTTTTCTCATCTTCCGAAGTCTCTTCCTTCAAAAAAAAAACTGCGATTTGGGGAACACACGAATTCGTCAAAAAAAACTGATGTAGGAAGCGGTTCAACCAGCAAGTTGCATTTGATACTTCCAGGCAATCCCCTTGCAACCAGGGTCAATCAGGACGAAAAAGAGTTCGGACTCTAGTCCGACCCCTACCTCTCTCCCATGGCGTGAGAAAGCACCGGCGTAGATTGAGGCAAGAGCCGTCCGCCCCCGTCATAGCGCTGCCACGGTTACCCATCAAGCATTTTTGAATGAATTCACATTCAAACCTTCTTTTTATGACCCATGAAGTTGATTTCCCATCATTCGCATGATCTGCGCCAGAAATAGGTAGCTATTATCACTCCCACTCAAAAAGGGCGATGTAAGCCGTGTAAGCCATTCACGAAATTCTCAAGAACCAATACTGAAAATTACCTTCTTCTTCTTCAGTAATGACAATGGTGTTTTGCGCTTACGCCCGCGACTGCTCGACGGCTCATCAGCAGCAGCAGTCAGCCGGCTTGCCGTATTAGGTGAGCTGACAGTCATCGATGACTGCTGTAAAACAAAATTCATCAAGACCAAGTAGTTTGTGCCAGCATTTTCTTTTCAAATTTCAAACACTCGGCATCATGAAAACACTGCAGCTACTGAGTAGAAATACTTAAAGAAACATGGGGACCGTTTCTATTCCTCAGCTGCGTGATAGAGAAAGAGTACAGATGAGAGAATAATAGAACAGTTCAATATTTCAAAAGAAAGTCACCATCCCTTTCAAGACATGTTCAGATGGTTGCCCTTTGAAAAACATCGCAAGTAAGAGCAGTTCACATGGTCTATACAGTGTGTCCCAAAAGTATAAAGACACCCTATTTTTCTTCAGTATCTTTGTTATAAACAAATGATTTCTCTCCAAATTTTTATCAGCAATGCACTTTTACACCACGGTACAAACATTAAGCAAAAATTGGAAAAAAAATTTTTGAGATTTTTATAAATTTTTTTTTCTAAAATCACCAAAATCTCTAAAATCAGGCGTCCCAAAGTATAGGGACATTCGGTTCTTCAGCAGTGTTTCTGACTCAGGTAAGTTGTGAAACAACTTTGTCACTGCTCTACTTCCCACACTTGTTCTACAGTGCCATGCCACGAGGAATGCACCTACACGACTTTGAGAAAGGCCAAATTCGGGTTACGAAGGATATGCCACCACAGTATTCAAGGAAATTAGAACGATCAGTCAACTTGGTGAGCAAATTCTGCAATAATCACTCCTACAGTATGAAAAAGGAGCGGGAAAAAAGGAGAAAAAAGACGAGGAAAGTTGTGGAAAAGCAGAAGCGCCGAATTCCTCTATGCTGCATTCCAATTCCAAAAGGGTGTGAGCGGCTAAGCAAGGAAGTAGCACCCGATTTGTGGAAAAGTACTGGTCAACGTGTGCTTAAATCATGTTCCCACATCGTTTGAAAGCAGTTTTCAACAGTGCCATGTTTGACGGGTGTGTATGAAGAAGAAGTACGAGTCTTTTTCGCAAAGGAACACGTAAACTGGACTCAACAATGGGATGAGGCACTTTGTACATGTAATATCATACACGTATGCATGTGAAACTTAATTTTTCCATCGAAAAGAAGGACTAAGTTGAATGGACCGCATGGCCTGCAAGGGGGGGCGAGAGTGCGCGATTTGGGAAAAGAGCCACACTACTTTTCCAGTATGGATTAGGGAGGCGTATAATGTCACGCTTGAGCTGCCTTCACAGCACTTCGTAAGAGTGAACTGGTTTTTGTCACGCAACGCTTGAACTCCAGTGGCTACAGGACCATCCCTCAAAACAATTCCGTACCATACGCAGCGATTTCCACCCTTTAAGTTCAAATTCCAACAAGACAACGCCGCCGTTCATGTAAGTGTCTCAACAATGGAGTGGTTCCAAGAGAGAAACAATAATATCCTGACTGGAATCCGATAGAGAACCTCTGGGGCATACTCACACGGGACTTTTACGCCAACTGCAGACAGTTTGAACGAAAAACAGCTGAAAAACGCCGTCAAGAGGCTTGAGAGCATATCGCCGGAAACGATTTCAAGGTTTGCCCAAAGCATGCCGAAGCGGATGATTCAAGTTATCGAAAGAAGAAGAAATGTTACTACTTTTCAATCATTATTGTTATTATTGATTTCATTAAGTATATCGTTCGGGAAGTTTGAACGCCGAAGTGTCCCTATACTTTTGGGACGCCATGATTTTAGAAAAAAAATTATAAAAAATCTACAAGATTTTTCTTTCCAATTTCTTTATATATTTGTACCGTGGTGTAATATGCATTGTTGACAAAAATTTGGAGAGAAATCATTCGCCCATTATAGAGATATTGAAGAAAAATAGGGTGTCCCTATGCTTTTGGGACACACTGTATGCAGGCTATGCAGGGCTGTGGCCTGCCGACTGTAAGGAGTTACAGTTCACACTTTGACAACAGATATGCATTATTTAGTCTTCTCGTCTTCCCAATGCAGTCAATGAGAACTGTTATTCCATTCAAATTAGTATTCTTATTCAGTTTTTCTTCCATTGACTAACCGATCTAAGGAGCAGGGAAAAAATTCCAAATTACAGCCTATCAGATAAATCTCTTATGGTTGGTTATCTTCCAAACGATAAATTCATATCAAATTGCAAATTGCATATGATTCGCATTCCGATTCAAATCGCATAGACTTCACATATCAGCCTTGAAGCAAAAACTCAGAGAACAGAGGAAAATAAATAATATCAAAACAAAAATATAGAGATTTAAAGACTCGCTGATGAGACATTGTTCACTGGGCAGGAGATTTGAAAAAAAGAAAGGTAAGGAGACCACTCAATCAATTTGCGACGCGTTCACCCATTATTGTACATTAAGAATAAGAATTATGATGAAGTTGAGCGTAAGGAAGTAATGAAATTGAACACCTATGCCACAAAGAATTACCAGGTTTAAAGCACACGTTCTGAAGTGAATGTTTTAGTAATACGACATGAAAACGGTTCCAAAACGTTTCTGACTTTCAATTGCTATGAATTATCAGACCACATAGTGTTAAATAGTGCCTCACGCCTTGAAAAGACATTCACAGCCATTAACAGACTTGGCTTCCTTACCTTGAATCTTCCCCTTAACATTGCCTTACTATAACTGCTTACGCCAAAACGCCGATATTTGGGCACCACAAGCTTTTTTCTCTCTTTTTTTTTATTAAGCTTCGATGGGTGCAGCACATGTAAACGGCAAATTTGAGGCGAAAAAGAACATCTGCTGCGCACGGCCTCACATCAATTTTATTCGTTCAACAATTGCGAGACAGCCTCGGAACTAGGCTGTTCATGGTTCAATAAGCCTCATACAAATAGTTCTCCTCGTTTCTCTCTTCTTCCCACGATTATTTCAGCTACAACTGCTCTTTAATTCGCTCAAAGATGTTTCCCCAGTGAAATTACAAAGCAAGCACGAAGGCGTCCACTTTTCTACGAATCTTACTCTTCTAAAACCAGCTGACCACTTCTCGCTGTCGAACCAGCGCCTAGCGGGAAAGAGGACAGGAACTCCGCCCAGAAGACGCCGCGCTGTGTCTGAAGCGATGACGAGGCTCCAGCGCTATACATGCACGTTTTAACTAGATGTGTCTCCAAACAACTAAATATGAGAAAGGCCGCTCAAAGTCGACACCATTTGTAATAAGAACTGCTTACAGAGTAGGAACTCAACAATCATAACGAAAGCCCACCGAGATATGGGGAAACCATAACACCATCAGCAGAGAAAACTTAGTATCAGGTTGAAATAATGACAGCCGATCTTTTACTTGATATGCAAGCTATGTCGGCTTTAACAGATTGAACCGAATTCGCTCACAAACTGACTCAGATTTATTTTGTTACAGGGTATTGAGAGGTGTGAGCTGACGCCGGGATGATAAATTTCACATATATCAAATAGTATATAATGAAATTAGTCGAGTGCGCCTCTTTTTTTGGAAGTCCTTTCATAAGAACAATGTGTTCTATACGATAAACAAATTGAGAAAATTGTGATTGGGAATCATAGCCATAATTCATTCATTCAATACGGCGAAAAATGAGAAGTAAAAGCCAGAAACATAAAAAAAACGAACAGTTTTTCATGTAAAACTATTGAGGTGAATAACTGCCTCGAAGGTTGAAAGCCCTTCACACTTATACGGATGATTTGACCAATACTCATGCTTTGTCAATGTAAATGGAACAATGTCTACAAAGGTATTTAGCAAAATGGAAAGGACCTTTCGCTAATCTCTTCAAATGTCAGCGATTGTGATACGACGTGAAGCCTACAAAACACCGACATCGATTGGGGAATAATGAGAACGCATGGAAATCACGATAACTACTCATATGGCACAAAATGAACAGACACAAAACATTTGATTCTCCCCCGAAGAATAGACTAGGCAACAAGCAGCAGCAGTCTCGATCTCATAAAACTATACGGCAGGAGGCAATGGAGTCGGAGAGCCGTATTGAAAAACCAAAGAAATATACCTTTTAAAGAGTTGAGGGGGAATTGTGGAGAAGCTTTCAGTTATTGAAATTCAAACAAGCCTCCCAGACCATTCAGCGAAATAGCAAAATAGCTAGACAAAATAGCAGGCGATTGTTGGTAAAAGCAAGAAACACGATTATGTTTAGAAACCGAAATGTTCAGAACTTATTGGAGAGGAAAATTTTAAAGCTCTACAGCCATTGAAAAAAAAATTAAAAGAAACGTGCCAGGGTAGTAGGCAAAACAATTTAAAACCGACAAAATATGTATTCAGTAAAGCAATGAAATAACTGCAATCCCAGCTGTCGAATTTCATTGACGCGTAATCCACACTTATACATTCCATTCCGTCTATTTATCTCCTATTCATTATTAGTCCTCACAAAAGTCGATTCGATCGCAAATGTAATAAAATTGTACATGAACACCGACCAGAGCCATTATAATCACCCATTCCAATAAATTGCCATTACGAATGAAAAACGGGAGAATTCCTGGGCCAATATATTTGGCAGAGCTTCAAACGAGCCACTGATAACAAAATGAGGACATTACATTACCGCTGCAGAGGCACGTAAACAGAAAAGAACTCAATAAAAACATAACGCAAGGCAACGAAATCTAGAACCAAGATAGCGAAACGAATTGAAAGACACTGCAAGAAAATCAATAAAAATTGATTTTGAATATTAGCTAAATATATTTCCGAACTCAAGAAAAAAAGTACGCCCGTGATAAGCCAAGCTACTAATAAAACACTTCGAAAAATTTATTCATTGCCGCCAAACATGATATGAATTGTTTTGGCGGGAAAGTACATGTCAAGCGTTGGGCGACCGCCGCAACGCGACAGGTGGTCTGATCGAGCCGTGCCGACGGTGGTCACGAAGTTTCCTGGTCTAAATGGATCGATTCCCCCGCAATCACTTAACTGCCCGAGCGATCGATAACTGGCCGGCCAACCGATGGTGGTTGAGTTGCGCGTGCGAGCGATCGTACGATTATTTTCAC